GTGGTACTGGATACGTCCGACTACAACCGAAAGATCGTCGCTCTCTTGGAAGATAAGGCCTACAGGAAGTTGAAGGATCCTACTGATGCCATAGAGGGGAAGAGTGTCCATCTCCTGGAAAAGTCCCCGATTGCTGAGGAGGTCTGCCAACAGCTACGACCTCAAAGTTCCAGGCCACCTAGACTCTACGGCTTGCCGAAAATCCACAAGCCTGACGTTCCACTAAGGCCTATTGTGAGCACCATTGGCTCTCGCACCTATCGCCTGGCCAAACACTTGGCTGGCCTACTGAGCACATACACTGACAACTGTCCACACCACGTAAGTAACTCCATGGAATTTGTCCACACATTGGACTCTCTCCATGTTGATCCCCACGACATAATGGTCAGTTTCGATGTGGTGTCACTCTCCACCAGGGTACCTATAAAGGATACGATGGATCCACTAGGAGGACATTTCGAAGAAGACATCTTGAGACTCTTCCGCCATTTCCTGACCACTTCATATTTCAGCTTCAATGGCCAGTTCTATGAACAAACCGATGGCGTGGCGATGGGCTCGCCACTCTCTCCGGTCATCTCTAACCTCTGTATGGAGGACTTCGAGATGAGGGCACTTGACTTGGTCCTACACAAGCCCCGCTGCTGGTTTCGCTACGTGGACGACACCTTCGTCATCTGGCCACACGGTCCCGACAAGCTCAAGGACTCCCTGAACCACCTAAATAGTATCCAGCAGCGCATCCAGTTCACAATGGAAGCTGAAACTGAAGGCCACCTCCCCTTCCTCGAAATAGATATTTACAGGAGAACCGACGGTTCCCTGGGCCATAGAGTGTACCGCAAATCCACCCATATAAACCTATACCTTAACGCTGCGTCCCACCACCACCCTTCCAACAAGCAAGCTGCACTTTCCACATTGGTGCACAGGGCTAGAGCTCTTTGTGATCAAGACAGCCTACATGCGGAATTGGTGTTCCTGGGGGATGTATTCAGGCAGAACAGATACAACAACCGGCAGATCCACAGAGTTCTGAACCGTCGGCCCGACATCAGCCGGCCTGAAGACAAACCGGGCTCAATTGCCTTCGTTCCCTATGTCGGGACCATATTCAACCGTATCAGCAGAGTGCTGTCCCGACACAACGTCAAAGCAGTGGGTCTGCCTCCATACAAATTATCCAATTCCCTCCGGCCGGTTAAAGACAGCTTGGGCCTAAGGACACCGGGTGTAGACAGTATCCCATGCGAGTGCGGGAATGTCTGTATTGGCCAGACAGGCCGCTCCGTGGACATGAGGTTGAAGGAGCATCAGCGGCACATCCGTCTCGAACAACCGGACAAGTCGGCCGTAGCTGAACACAGCATCGATCTGGGACACCGCATTCAGCTTCAGAATACCTCCATCCTCNCCCCCCCCCCATACTACTGTTTCACTTGAATACTTGACCTTCCCCCCTTCCTTCTCTGCTCAAACATAGCTGTGTATATTTCCAACGCCAGTCTGCTTTTACCGGTTCTCACGGTCTCTTCGCTTGCAGATTTCTTATATATTTTTTCTTCTACCCTGAAGATGGAGGCGATACGTTCCTCCGAAACGTCGGTTAACACCACATATACACGGTGCCAAAAAAGAAGACTGCTTTCTTCATAGTCACCGCCGTGAAAACCTCAAATCTTACAATAAAAATTTAATATAGATAAATATTTGCCTGATAATTTTCCTCCTATATAAAGCAAGGAAATGCTTTATCGCCACTCTTTTTCAATTTTGCTTTAGAATATGCCATTAAGGAAGCCCAGGAAAACAAGGTGGGACTGAAATAAACGGGACATATCGTCAGTTGGTTTGTGCTGATGATGTGAATCTACTGGGTGATGATATAGATACAATAAAGAAATCACTATACTAAAAAAACTATCTCTTTGCCTTAATTTCGCAAGCGAACTATATCGACCGAGCGACCACCGCTTGTCGGCGAAGTTAGTGCCAACTGTAGCGGATACAGGATGTCACGTGGTCAGTGCAACGAATGCCCATGGCCGTTAATTTCGGTTTTCTAGACCGAAGCTGCTAATTTTCCAATCAAGTAGTTCCTCAATTATCTTCACGAGGCTGAGTGGACTCTGTTCCAGATCCGCTACTTCTCAGAAAATCTGGTAGCGCCGGAAATCGTAACTAGGACTTCTGCATCGATAGCCAGGAACTCTGATCACTAGACCACTAGACCACAGGGGCAGTTCATATATAAAAAATAACAACAGAGAAAACTAAATATATTGTAACGTGTCTTGCGTTACTGAATACGCCGTAGAGATCGTTAATTGGTTTATTGAACAATCTACAACTATCGGCTACAATTAATTATCACACAGTTGCGGGGTTTCACACTTTATAACCCTAATCGCATTAATCTGTTAACACTGTTGCGGGGTTTCACACTTTATAACCCTATGCGCAAATCAGCTCACTCTGTCTTCAGTAGTCTACACGTTTACAGTAGGGGAGCTATGTATCACTGTATCACACACTCCCAATTACACAATCACACACACGTCCGGTTCTTCTTTCCGCGACGGCTGCTATACTCCAACTTGTAGTCGGCTGACTGGAGAACTGTTGATAACACACTCGGCGACTGTCACTTTATAACTCTCCTCGGCGACTGTTACTTTACAACTCGGTGGCTGTCACAGTACAACTCGACTCGGCGATGGCCAGATTACAACTCGGCGACTGCCCACATTCCAACTCGGTGGCTGTCACAGTACAACTGACTGGTAGCTGCTGTGCGGTTCCCTTATATATCCGCAGTGGTGCCTGTTGCGGGCCACGTCACAGTGGGAAGCGGTTCCGCGTTACCGTGGCGTCACCGCGCGTGGCGCGTTATGGGAGCTCGGCTATCTTCGGCTCCGCTCGGCTCACTTCGGCTCCGCTCGTGACGTCACCGCGGGAGAGTGGCGGGTGACGATTCGCCTATTACGCGAGCGCTACTTTACCGCTACGTTCCGCTGGGGAGGTAGGGGTCAACATGTCACAATATGTTGCTATCTCGTCGCCAAAATGCAGGACAAAATCATGACATAAAATAGGTAACAGAAGTTTTGAAAATGTGGCACAATTCAGATATTTGGGAACGACGATAACAAATCAAAACCTGATTCAGGAGGAAAATAAGAGGAGATTGAACTCGGTTAATGCTTGCTACCATTCAATCCAGAACCTTTAGTCTTCTCGTCTGCTATCAAAAGCATAAAAATTAGAATATACGAAACTATAATTTTGTCTGTGGTTCTGTACAGGTGTGAAACTTGGTGTCTGTCATTAATGTAGGAATATAGACTGAGGGTATTTGAAAACAGGGTGATGAGAATAATTGGATCGAAGAGAAATGAAGTGACAGGAGGTTGGAGAAAACTGCATAATGAGGAGCTTCATAACTTGTATTCTTCTCCAAGTATAATTAGAATCATCAAGTCAAGGATTATGAGGCGGGCAGGGCATGTAGCACGAATGGGAGAGAAGAATGCATATAGAATACTGGTGAGAAAGCGAGAAGGAAAACCAAGACGCATTTGGGTGAAAATATTAAAATGGATCTTAGAGAGATATAATGGGATTGACATGGATTGGATTGATCTGACTCAGGATAGGGATCATTGGAGGGCTCTTGTGAACACGGCAATAAACTTTCGTGTTCAAGAAAATGCTAGGAAATTCTTGAGTAACTGAACAATTGGCGGCTTCTCAAAGAGTGAGTTAGGAATATACATAACATTTTCCGATGTTTAGGTTCTGTTTGTGTGGCTTGTGATATTATAGAGCAACAAGATGTGTGAGAAGCCCATAGAACACTTATTTTTCGTCAAAATTAATATCAATGTCATGAATATAAAATTACAAATATGCATTTCGTACAGAACCTGGTTGCCAGAATGACGTAACAGAACACTCTCTGACCTACTGCCCAGCTGATTCAAATTGACGATGACACGAGCAACATACTACTGATGAATAAGACAGGACATCTCATAAATTTACTGTTACCTTACTGGAGCCTGAAAGCTGCCCAGGTCACTGTCCCATTTGTTGGAGGAGAAAAGTCTTGAGCAGATAAATATCCTCATAAAACTTATAACTTCCGTAGACTAAATTGATTGACAAAATTGACAGAAATTTTCGAAACATACAAATACTAAAATTATTTAGGATACCAGGAAATTAATGAAAATAGATGAGGCCTGTTAAGCAGAAGCTGAAAGTGTTCTGAGCTTAGTGATGGCATAATGCTGACAGCATATATGTGTTATTATCTGAGAACAACATACTTCTTATCGAATGGCTGTGATTTCTTTCTATAAATCTTTCGCCAGATTTGTGATGCATTCGTGAGATGGTGGTTATGATGAGGGCGTAACAAAACCACACAGACAGTGTTGTCAGACCGCTATCTAGAGCCTACTTTATTTTCGGGCTACAAATCTATTCCGGAAGACCGAATGAACTTGCACTAAAGAATCAGAGCCTACGTCTTAAATCTACTCGCGTCTTAGCATTCTTCTCGTTTTGCGACAGTTTTATGTAATTAAAGGAGAACAATTTTCAGTATGCTATCTTCTTGTTCCAGACCCTTGAGGGTAGCGTTCCTTAACTTTCTGTGACTTTCAACATGTGGATCGTGAGTCTTCTCCTATTGGGCAACAGTCTTATAGTATAATGCTGGAAGAGTTGCAAACCCGTTGTCCAGTAGACTGCGAGTCTCCATACATTACATTTTATGAAGTGCAACAGGATTTCGATATTCGACATTTGTTTAAAAGCAGAGAGGTTTACAGGAATTAATAGCAACTTATAACAAAAATTTAAAAGATCTCAGGGCTGAAGGAAACCTACACTAAGTTCCGGTTATAACTGCATGTTTACGTGGGCCTGCACATTTACCTGGGCAGAACCAGTAGCAGGGCAGTGCTATTACTATACTGGGTTCAACTTACCTTTCGGGTGTAAAGTCTGTGACATATGCAGGGTGATGACAATGAGCAGAACAGCAGTAAGGAAGATGGAGGCGGCGAACACGCTCACAACAGCCACCATCTTGCGACGCTCCTGCACGGCAGCCCGGTCTCTATGATCAAGTGCATTTAAGTGTCAACAGTTGATTTGCTTTGTACATCTGGAGAAAATTGTGAGACAGAATTGGAAGGATATGCAATACCTAGACGGAGAGTTAGCAGCTTCTCACTGCGGCGGCCAGGGGTCGAGCCCAGGTCATGTGATTTTGACTTCGTGGTGGCCAAAATGACACTAGGCCAAATTTTCTCCGAGTACTACGAGATTCCCTGCAAATACACTTACCCATTCCACCAACTGCTCCAAAATCATGCGGTCACGTGACGCTGCATAGTCTCGACACTGAAAGCGTCCTTACAAATCATAGCGACCATGATTCTGTATATAAAAGTAAGATTTGGGAAGCTAACAGCAAAATGCATAGGACACGTTTATGAAGACGTACTTCAGCAAAATCAATAGGATCTGTAATGAAACATTCTAAAAGGCCACAAGTCCACAGGAATGAAGAGCATATACACAATTTTGGGAAAATTACTTTAATTATTTCCGGAAGTTGCTTTCAGGAGAAGTGTGTTAGCAACGTCTCTGGTCTTTATAAAACTGAAATATAATTACGATATAATTACAATTAACATAATATACGGGAATATTATCCACAAGGGGCCATTATTTTATTTCAGAATCTGTGTATCATATTTTTTTCCTTGGCACTACAGCCCCAGTGGGCCTAAGGCTACCTCCATGAACTTGCATCATATCTAGGTAGGTAATATTTGAGATTTTCACAGCCGTGACTATGAAGAATGTCGTCTTCTGGGATGTGGCGCCGTGTAGATCTGGTGTGAACCGACGTTTCTGAGGACCATATCGCCTCAAATTTTAGGGTAGAAATATTCTCAAGAGAAGAACTAGACTGAGAGGTGGCTGAAACTGAGCCGCCGGGATATCATCTGAGTGAACTGTCGTATGTGTTTGCAAACAAGACACGCGCCTACAGACACGTGTGGGGGGGCATTTCCAGAATTTGTTTTAAGTGAAGAAAGTATGAGAAATGTACTTGTATTAATGTAGATGGACTCTCTGAATGTGCTCATAATCTACAAAAGGCACACGGAGACTATGGGCTCGCTCTGTGCAACATAACATCTGCATATAATAACAGTCATAACACAACATTTCAGGCTATTTATTTTATTACCATTGGGGTGGGCCGAAGTCCCTTGTACTGCGGCCATTTCTGGCCTATTCTACCAGCCCCAGATTATAGGTGAGGGTGATTGTGGAGCAATTGGTGGAATGAAGATTGGCAGGAGAAAGAGAAGTACTCGGAGAAAACCTGCCCCATCGCCACTTTGTCCACCACAAATACGACTTGACCAGACCTGGGATCGAACCACACTTCAGACTAAGTATTCGAATAAAAATAGACTGAGCTACTGAATATAGTACAGATGTTTATTCAACGCACTCCATTTAAGGAATAAGTAGCATAATTTACTCATTCGCTACGAGGGAGGCGTATAAACGACATCACACTCTTCGCCCTACTATGTTCCGGCTCCTGAATTTGGCCTGAAAATCTCATCCAGGTCTTCTTGAGGCCTGTGTTTCCATGTCTGTTTAGATATCTTTACAAATTTTATTTGTGCTTTTATATTCAGACTAAGAATTTAGTACTGTGCAGGCGCCCATTTTGTACCTTGATACCTTGATTTAATTTGTCCCTGACCTCTTTGTTTCGTTTACGACCTGTGAGTAAATATTCGACTTTTCCAACAAAACCTTTCGATCTGCTATTTACGTCCTTGTCCCAGGATTCTTTCTCACAAATCATGTGTCACTTCTGTATATGGATGTTAGCAGCTTCATTGCTTTAGAAACACTCTTATAATAATGAAGTTATATTAAAAGAAACTTGTTCCTGTGCTTAACTAATTAAGCACTGAGCCATGAAGACGTATGGGGGAGTGGATGTAAAGATCCACATTTTATTGACCTGAGCACTAGTTGGAGCTGGTCAACTTCGCGATCCGGCCGCTTTACCCTGGGCAAAGAGCCCCTGTACCTATTAGATAGAAGGGTTCCAGAAGCAGTGTGGACTGCATGGAGAAGTGAAAATTCTTGACGCAGCCGGGACTCGAACTCCGGCCCCTTTGTCGTCCAACTCATAGCCAGTCACTATACCGACTGCTCTATCGGGTCTCTAATGAAGTTATGTTACAACTGTTATTCATTTCATTCTATATTATTTACAAAAATACAGATATTATGAACTTGTGAAGGCCCTACTTATAAGCAGAAAGTCGCGGGCATAAATTCTCGATATTAATGGTTCCTAGCTTCAGGTCATGCATAGCCTACGAGCATGAAAACATCTTCTTCGCGGGCGTGATCTGAGGTTCAAACAGAAGAAAGAGGAGACACTGCCTGGCATGCGAAAGGGGAAGAACGGTCAGCGCGCCAATGGGCTGGAGGGATGGCTATCACGTTACTGGCTTTCTACGGAATCCGCGCCGCTACTGTTGTTATGTAATGGTTCGGCGAAAGCGTTACAACAATAGATGAACTGGGTTTTCTTTGCATGTTCCTCACGGAGGCTATATGACGAGAATAACACTGGCAGTTCAGTTCAGTTCAATTCTTGGTGGAAGATAGCCACTGAAATTTCGCCTTGTGAACGAACGTCTTAATTACGAGTAATATCTGGAGTGATTTGAAGCGCTAGTTCCTGTGTTTCAATTGCATTACCAGGAGAAAACGAGAGAGAGAGAGAGCGCGTGTGTGTGTGTGTGTGTGTCTGTGTAGCAGTGAATTATGAAATGTATGTAATACAGCGATATATGTAAGTATAGTATGTATACAGTATGTAAGTGTAATTAAGACAGTCTCTAACAAAGTGTTAATAAATGCAGTCGTCCGAACTGGAGCCCGTAATTTCGTCATGTGTACCACCCTACATGCGACAATATCAAGGTCAACATATTTTTTTGATTGTAACTTGATTTTTTCACTCCACAAAAGATGTAGAGCAGATCAACATGGTCGAGACGACAGAAATTTGGATTCCTTTCTGACGAAAGGTTCGTGTAACGTACAAGACTGATTTGCACCGCACGACTGAAGTATCCCAGTTCGGCGAAGTAGTAGACGAAGCGGATGGTCGAAGTGAATAATAGGCACTAATAAATGCACGTAATTAATGCTCCCGTTTACATTCTCCTGCGCGCACCTCGGCGGTTGAAACTACAACCATTGTTGTGTAACGTTCCCCCACTGTTATCCTCTGTTATCCACTGTTATCTGTAGAATCTGCCAAATGCCCTATGACTCAGTGAAATTTCTTCTTATGACCTATGTTAACAATGAAGACTATACATCCTGGCTTGAATCAGTGTGGTGCTGAGAGAGCGATAGATAGATATATATGATTCTGTTTGATTGTCAGACTGTTAGTATGATCATAATCTAAACACACTCTTCTAAAGTGACAATGAGGGTGAATCTTTGAAGGCCGAAAGATATCCAAAATAAAAAAAATATCTCGGAAAGTTATTATCATAAACGTATCCGGTTTATGTCATCGGAAAGGAAAACCCTGTTAAGTCCCCCCCCCTTGCCAGGCTTACGCGCATGCGCCGCCACATTTCTGCCACCATGTTAGGAATCACTTGGACAGAGAGATGGCTGGGAGGTGGATGGGCAGAAGTGGATCAATTGCTTGGACTCCTAGGCCGCCAGATTTAACCCCACTAAATTTTTTCTTGTCTACCAGGTTACGATCAACGACCTTCTGTAACCGTCCCACTGCTACGCAACTTATTTGAATGTAATCAACTTTATTAATTTGAAAGCTTAATTGTTCAAAATGAAATGCAATGAACAAGGGTAGTGAGATATAGGTCAATTCTTGTATGCAAGGGCAAGCGTCTTCCCACGCTTACACCAAGAAACAGGAAGTAACCCGTCAAAGGTTTATTAGAGGAAAGTTACGTTAAAGAATGGCTAAAGAATTCTTTGTGAATTCAATACTTGGCAGTTTGTGCATGCCATAACTTAAAAAGGGTGAAGATTTTAGGGCCCAAGCGACGCTTAAGCATTTGTCAAATTCTGACAGAAATACGTTGGAGTCAAAAACGCTTAAACCCTTGTAAGCTTTAAACGGAGTGGAGGAATATCTAATTAAGATACTCTTATTTTTCAAATATAACCAATCGTTAAAATTTAAGGGTGTAACAGGGCAGAGACGCTGAGGAAACAAGGACTTGAAGGTCCGAGTAGAAATCAGTTGTCGAAGTCAATCACACACCGGGACTCGTTAGGACTAGACGTAAAAAATCACGCACCCGGAACTCGTAAGAACTAGACGTGAAAAGTCACACACAGGATCCCGTAGAAACAATACATAAAAGTTACTGATTTGAAGTTGTGTTAAGAAGTGGCTAAACAAGTGTTCAATAATATAATTCGTCTAAACTTGATATGTGCTTTGTAGTTTGTGTTCATTTATTGCTTCTCAGAGTTGTGGCCCGTTCAAGGCTCTGAGATAAAGAGACCTTCAGCTCTACCGAATCAACAAACCTCGCCTCCTTATCAATTAAATAACCCTGAGATAAAATTTAGTACAAGAAAGAAGTACCTGCAAGTGCGACCAACGTGTGAGGGAGAGAGAAGATAATAATTGAGTTTAACAAACGGTAAGGTGAGAGAAGGACTGTTAAAAAGGTGACTTCAGGAAGAAGAAGAAGGGAAGGAGGTAAGGGACGGTAATACTTCAACACCTGAAAGCCCGCATAAGGGACGCTGTGGCTATGGTAACACCAAGCGTACTGGATAGTCTCGATATTTGTCTTGCCACAAGGGAACCCATGTTGAAATTTTTTGAGAAAGTTATATACTCAGAAAAATCTTTGGTATTATCTCTTTGTAGTGGTGTAACCCATAAATGTGTATAATAAAATCTTTCTGAGGTATAATTGTTTTATTTTGGATACGCTCTATGTTTGTGACAGGATTTTATTTTTAATGCAATGGTATTGTTATGGGGAATGTTTC